CTCCCGGTGGTTAGTGGTTAAATAAAGATTGTTGTTGTTGTTGTTGCAGGACATGATTGGACTGACAGGTTCAGTTTGGTGGATTATAGTTGCGAATCCTTGATTGTTTAGAGTGGTAGCGGGAATTGGTGGGATTTAAAGGAACAAAAGGGAGACACAACTGGTTAGCTAGTTCAATATGTATAAGATTTTGCTCTACCCTAGAATCTACAAGAGGCTGTAGTGTCCGAGTGACATGGTTTAGGATAGGAGTTACAGGTAGCAATAACTGGGGTTTAGTAGATGTCAGGGATCTGCCCACCCGTATCCTTGAACTTACTGGCAGGAGGACCCTTTTGGATGAACTGGGCAAGAGGTGATGAAGGCGGCCTGCAATACAAGCATTTCTCTTCTGCAGTTAGCCACGAACTACCTATTGGGATGGGCTCGGGATGCGGTTCAATTGAGAGGGAGAGAGGAGGTGACAGAGCGGAAGTTGATACCTCCCACAGCAAAATTGGTATGGCTCGGATCGGGCCCATACAATGTGCGTACACATGGCCCACATACCGCAAAGAATGATGGCCCTTTGGTGGCCCAGATCTGGTTTGCCAGAGGTGGCCAACACATGGGCCAGCACAAGGCCAGTTGCAGACACACTGCTGGCCCTATGCTGGCCCAGAACAGTTTCAGCTCTGGCCCCAGATGTCAGCCTAATGTGTACCTTAATCAAGCCAGGTAATAACAACATGTGCCGTATTTAGCACAGATTAAAAATGTCTCAACAAAGGTAATGCAGCAAATTTATTTTGAATGGAATAATTTATATAATTAAAAATTAACAATATATCAAATAATACTGGAACATAATAGTAACATGACGAAGCTCTGTTCAGACAGTGAATGGACTGATTCTTATATAGCGCTTTTCTACTCTCCCAGATTACTCAAGTGCTCTATACAACATACCACATTCACCCACTTTCTCTAAACTGAATGCTTCCTAGCTATATTCATACACATTCACAGTCCTGAAATACAGACTTTAGGAGCCAGGGATCAAACCACTAACCTTCTGATTAGTAGGTGACTTGTTCTACCTCCTGAGCTACAGCCACCCAGTGGTAAACACGAGTAAACCCTCACTAGGTTTTGGATAAAGTGAACACTCACAAACCTGTCAAACCTGTATTTGAATCATTGGCTACCATAGTAGTATAGTATAGCAATATGGCATTTGGGTCTTCTAACTAAAATAGGAAAATAGGAACATAAACAGTGCCATCATTGCCAACCTGGCCCACATCTGGTTGACATACACTCTGCCATGTCACCAGTCAGTCAGAAGTGCCAGCTTGATGCCGGATCCGGGCCAGACCTGTTTTCTATGAGCCTGGGCTACATAAACCAAACCACAATCTGGCCAGATATGGCATGCCATAAACAGGGCCATCTACGCCAGGCCTGGCCCATATCTGGATGACATACCAGTTACCATGCCAGAAGTCAGCCAGCAGTGCCGGCTTGACACCAGATCCGGACCAGATCTGTCTGCTATATGGGCTGAAGCGGCGGTGCGGAGATGGAAATTGGAGACGAACAGAAGAAAGCACGGTGGGACTTATAGTTCTGGCCTCTCTTTCCTTCAAGCGATTATCTGTCCTGAGGGGGAGAGAGATCAAATCCTTGAAAGAGGAAAGGTCATCATGGGAGGCTACATGATCCCTCACCTGATCATTGAGGGCCTGGAGAAAAACTAGCCAGCCTCTGGCTACTCCGATTATGCCTTCCAGGGAGTTTTTCTCCAGGCAGCAGACACAGACGAGGCGTCTGCTGTGTACGAAAGTCAGTCAACAAACTCCACAACACTACGCTTCCCCTGCTGTATATTTTGTAGTTTCTTAGCTGTGCTGCTCTCAGAGTGAGGTGAGAGAAATTTTATTTTAATTCTGCCAAAAACTCATCATGCGGGCAGGAAAAGATCAGGTGGAAAGAAAATCAGCCCATGCGAGTGCTTTTCAGCATTCCCACTACACAAAGAACCAATAACCAGTAAAGAACTAATATTTAATTGTGTCTTTAGGTGCTTAGTTTGTTCCCATCTATGAAAAATACCAAAGAAAACACAGTCTGACAGGCATGGAATAGAATTTTAAAGTCATTTCAGTTATTCCTAAAAAGTTGTTTACCAAATACTTTGTCTTTACAAATATCACATCTCAGCATAATGTGCACTTCATCATTAAAAACAAATCTGAGGAACCTGGAAAAGTGGAGGATGAAAGAAGAAATGGCAAGCCTAAAAAAACATTTGCAACAAAAGGGAGTCTGTCAAAAACATTCTTCAGAAAGGGAAATGGGAAATAAAGGCTGAGCTGTGCCAAATTACACAAAAAATGACTGAAAATCTGTGGCAACAGGGAGTTTGTGGAGTTATAGATGTATCTAAATTTGCAATACTTGGTTCAAATTGTTATCAATAAGTATGTAGGAGGAGGTCTGAAGAGAGGTACAACAGTGAGTGTCTACAGTCATCTGTAAAACCTTGTGGAGTCTTTGTCATAGTGGTTGGCATTTCTATGTATGTTTGCACACTTTAATAAATCACTGCATCAATTTTCCAATTTCCTAACAAAATATAAAAAATAAGGAGCTCAAGAATACTGCAGGGGACTTTAGTTGTCATGATCTAATGGCTAACATAGTTTATAAGCCAGGCAATTAATGCCTATTTCTGGTTTAAAAAATAAATAAATAAAAAAAACCTTGATATTTAAACAGCCTTATGTGGAAAGTCATACAACAAATTTGGCAGCTGTGCACTGGCTTCATTTTTAGCCAAGGTTGACACTCAATGCAAGCAGTCTTACTGAGAAGCAGATACAGAAGACTTTGCACCAGTAATGAGCCTTTTCATACAGCCGCTGTGCTTCTGTTGACCTTTTTACAGTACAATCAATAGCAGACACGCCAAAAAAAAAAAAAAATAGTATTCAGTACTATTGATTGGAAACGTGGTCAGGTTTACAGTTCTTTATGTCATATCTCTTGATGATGACTCAGGAAGTACATTTAAGTCTCAAATTGCGTACCTAACTAACTTAGGCTACAATTTAAAAAGTTTCTTTGCAATGAGAATAATTTGTCATTAAGACAAAGACAGGATAGTTGTGAACATGTTCTATTGCAGTCTCTTTTCAATAATGACTTTCTAATATGAACTAAATATCCTCGAAAGCTTGAGATGTATGACATAGAATTGTGATCACTCTAAATGAGTCATACAGAGTCTGAGGGTCTATTCAAGAAAGAAATGATTCAAACAGATGAACCATTTATATCTTTTTGAAATCATGGAAACATTTGACAGGGGGCCATTAAAAGATCCTGTGTACATAAGCTTTTTCCTCCTTTTCTGCCATTATGCCCAGGATTGTCTCTATGAAGCAAAAACTAGAAAAATGTTAAAATACAAAAATTAACATAGCAATCAATGTCTATAATTACATTTAGCTAACAATTTTCTGTAATTTAGTCTGTGCAATAAGGTAACAGACACAGTTAGCTTCTGGCTTTGGTCATTTGGTGACTTGAAAAACATAGCATGAATGAAACATCTCTAATATGCATACTGGAATGTTCTTTTTATCACCATCAGTCTCTTAGTTGACTAAGCTTGAGATCACTTCAGTCACTAGATGTGCTGATGAGCATTTTCTCAGATATTTTGAAGGATTTAATTGCTTTTATTAGACATTTCCTAAATCTATGTCTTAAACCTTTCTTCTTCTCAAACCCTTGATAATATCTTAGCTGTTGAGATCAGTCGAAGACCCGTGCAATTCCATGTAGCCAAACTGACAACACAGGTGTCGCCAGGTGTATATATATCTGTGTGTGTGTGTGCTTCAAGAAATGGTTAGGTATTTGCTGCACGTACCTGCATAAGGCTCGAGGAAAAAGCTATATGCATCAAACTCTCTCTGTGCAGCTGCTCCCTGGTTGAGCATATATGGAGTTGGGAACAAAATGTTTTTGTATTTGCACTCTATTTATATTTTTATTCCCACAGTGTAGAAGCAACACCTCTGGAACATCACTTAGAATTAAAAGTCAGTGGAGTAGCCTGCTTTAATTATCACAGCACTGCTTGATTGCTGCCATAACTTACAGATAATATTCTGCCCACCAGCTGTTCAGCGTTGTGAAGCTAAAATGATCAGATGGGCACAGAACTCTGTCATGCTCTCCACTGCATTGCTGTATCTTAAATTAAATATTCCAACAATAATCATACTATTTAAAACCTCAGAGTAAGTGGAGTGAGCCAGTGTGTGTGTGTGTGTGTGTGTGTGTGTGTGTGTGTGTGTGTGTGTGTGTGTGTGTGTGTGTTCAGGTCTTTCTCATGTTGTGGGGCCCTGAACTTGTCACATAATGGGGACATGTTTCTTTATGGGAACCAAAAGCAAGTCCCTTTGATGTTATTCGGTATTGTTGTACGGTTGAGGCTGGGTTAGGTGTAAGAAGTAAACACTTCATCTGCTGTAGGTGAACTGAAGAACTAAAGGCAGTGCTGAGCTGACACATCTCATTAGCGTTCCCATCCCCGTATTAGCTCCTGAAAAGGACTCTCTGACTTCAGTGATCTCCAGCCTAATGTTCAGTTCAATTTTAGCTTGTGAACCGTCCAGGGTGCAAAATCTGCTAAATCACAGCTGGGAGAGTCCACTATCACATTATAGCACACGTCATAAATTGTAAATGCAATGAATGAAACACTGTATTAAAGTAAGGTTATGGTCAGGCAACTCCAGAAAAAGACCAGTGCCACGTCCTCGAAAGTCACGAAGTCAAGGATATGCATTCTCATGTTTGCGTGTGTGACTGAAGAGAGAGAGAGAGGGAGAGAGAGAGAGAGAGAGAGAGGTAGGAGGTTGGTGGGCGCTGCAGTTTTCTTCAAATTCAAAGTTTTTCACCTCCATCTCTCTGCGCGTTCACTCACTGAGAAACACGCTGCCGATGAAAACCAACGCGCTGCTCCACTGGTCTAACCACGGGGCGCGCTCCCACGCAGGAACATTCCTCTTTTATTCCTCCAGCCGCTCATTAAGTGTTTTTTTTCTTTCTTTCATTTTCTTTCTTTCCCCCCTCTTTCTGTTGCAACATGAGCGCTGAATGCAGCAGTTACTACAGCGCTGACGGGGTGTTCGTGGACTCGTTCTCCTGTCCTAAACCAGGGAATGCTGCCGCTGCCATCTACTGTTGTGGATTTAACGATATTAAATATTGCTGTGATGATGCAAACAGTTTTTTCCCGTATGAGTACGGGTACATGTGGTGGCTCAGGCAAGTGCAATTTTATTTTATTTTCTGCCTTAAAAAATAAAATAATGTGCTTGTTATCAGTGGATGAGCTAATCACTAATAATCACAATATTTTCTTCATTTTTAATGTTTACTTTTTTGCGCAATAAAAGCCTCACTTAACTGACATTATTGAACCCTTAATCTTTGAGAAAACCAATTGCCTCTGTTCCTGGTGTTCCTTGAAGACTTCAGTTCATCCATTCACGGCATAAAGAACTCGTTTTCGTTTTAATTCTGCGAGTAAGACCCATCTAAGGAATGCACTTAAAATATTTAGCAGATAAAAAAGTTATTTTTCACGTTCATTGTGTTTTTTAATCCTCACATCAGTCAGTGTCCTCTCCTCTCTGTTCATTAAGGGATCAGGTTAAAAAGATGTTTTTCTCTCTTCTCCTCTCAGTATCGGTGCTCTGGTCGGTCTGTCTATAGCAGCGGTCGTCCTCCTTGCTTTCCTCATCACTGTGTGTGTCCTCTGCTACCTCTTTATCGTCACCAAACCCACTCGTCGTCTTGACAACGGCCTACCCCTAAGAGCGCCAGGTTAGTATGAATCCTCCCCTGAATTCCCTCTGATGACAGGAATTTGTTTGTTTGTGTAATTTCTGACAAAATCTCAACATTTTTACTTTTTATTTTTATCAATATTGAAGTCTTTTACAGAGAGCTCGTAATAAATCATTTTATTCTGTGCAACTGTCTGTGGCTTCTTGGCAGGAGATCCCAGTGAGGGGCCGAGTCATGTGAGGGTGCCCTGCGCCGCTGCTCCACAAAGATTCAAAAATCCCTTTGTGAACAGGAAGGTGGATTGTGACAATCAGTCGCCAGACCCAGAGCACCTTTTCCAGAGGTGTTTTACACCCACAGTCACTGGAGTGAAAGTGGAAAGTCCTTCATAAATTACTCTTTTTTTTTCTTTTTCTTTTTAAAATATAAGGACAGCAGCACTCTGTCAATAAGGCAAATCAATGAGGAAACAGCCTTGTGGTACAAGTGGACAACTATGAATGAGAGGAAAGTAATTGATACAGTGTGAGCGGTGGCTGAAAGGAGTATATACTGAGTAACACAACTTTAGACCAGTAGTAAGAAGCACGCGCTCAGAAGGCTGTGACGTTTCTTGCCTTGTTGACATTTTTCATGCATTAAAGTCGTCTTTCCTCGTGGCCTCCTCACGGGTGGAAATTACTTATCCTCCATCTTTTTGGAAACTAATGCATAAATTTGGCTTTCTGAAAGCCAAAGATTCATTTGAACACATGAATCATTGAGTCATATGCAGTTTACAGTGAGGACATACAGTTTTAGGCACATTTATGTGCTGAAGATGTTGCATTTGGGTAAGAGAAAGCCAAGCTAGTGTTTTAAGTCGGGAGGCACTCTGATTGGAATCTTCTACATTTTACTCAGGGACTGAAGGATTTGTGGGAGTGAAACGTTCCCAGCACAACACAGAACTGCACCATCAGTTGACTTTTCAGATCTTTAAAGTGGCTTATGTTTACATTCTCTGGACAAGCAACCTCAAGTAAAACCCTTTGTGATGGCTGGAGGCAGGCTTGGATTGTTGGGTATCTCTTATTCTAACACTGGAGTTTGTGGTTTATATTCTGTGTCCTGCTGGCAGTCCGGTACAGGTTTCTTATAACCACAGTCATCATGTTTCTCTAACATAACCAACAAGGATTCTGCTGAATCAGTTAACATGAAGGAGTCTGATGGCAGCGTAATTCTCACAGATTTTAAAGTTAAAATCGCATCACTGTATACCTGAATCACTTTTAAAGGATACCATTGTTATTCATTATTATTGTGAAGAATGAACCAGTCAACGTATGCTGTGCGCTGTACAGTCTCACATAAACAAAACCTCTTCTATTGCATAAAATATGGGAGGCAGAAGAGGATCTAACACAGACGGTACTCTGATTAAAAAAGCTGAACCTGAATGGAATAGCGAGGTGCTACATCAGTGAATCACATGCAAGCACACATTCCTGGGGGAGTACATTTCCACTAATAAACTGTGATCATTATGGCATAAGATCTATTAACTGGTGATGGCAACAAATGCTTAGAATGTAAAATTTTGTCTGAGTACTGTTAAGCGCTGTCCAGTGTTTTGGCACATTAAAAGCCTTCAAATTCATGCATCTGCTACTGAAATGGCACTTTGCAGCTGTATTTAATGGATGACATTAAGCCGAATGTTCCCCCAGTACTGGCTCATGTGGTTCGGAAACCTAAAATATAGGATGAATAGATAGGTGTTTCTGGAAAGTAAAGAACTAATATTTAATTGTTTAACCTGTGGCATGCATTTTATTGTAAGAGTGTCCTCTAGTGGCCATAGTAATAATGACTAAGAAGAGGAGGAGGTCAGGGTGGATGGATGGGTTGCCATAATGCTGTACTTTCAAATGGTCCTAAGCATTGTTGGGGTTGTTATGCATTTGAAAAAGAGAAAAAAAGAAAATAATGTATTACACATTACTCGTTACTTTTCTTAAAAGTAATGCAGTATGTTACTCAATTACTCGTCAGAAAAAGTAATTAACTACAATACTTGTTATATTACTTTCTTGTCACATTGTAACGTAACCTGAAACACACTGTCACATAATCACCAACAATATAACAGCATAAACCTGAGGCTACACTTTAGTAGCATTCTGGGTTCTTGGCTAGCTTTTTGTTAACATGCTGTCCGTGCAGATGCCTACAAAGAGCCGAAGCTGTGTTAGCAACTGTTATGGATGCAGTTTGCACTTTACCATCGCACTCTTGTCCCTTTGTACAAAACCCCCCCCAAAAAACAAAAACTGTGAAACTGAAAAATTCAATGTGATTACAGTAACATGCTACAATGGAAGAGGTCTGCTTTAACCTAATGCCATTTTTCCCTCATACACCTTACAAAGTTTTTTTCGTGCCTAAATCTAACCAAACCGAGGTGAAAAACATCTGTGATCAAACGTGGAAGTTTTTCCAGGACAAAATCAAAGCTTTCTGACCACCGTGCCATTTAGTCAAGAACAATTTGTTAGTCTTTTTTTATGTATACAAAGCTTTTATTGTTAGGACATCTCAAGCAAGATGGTGCAGACAGCAAGCCCTATACAAACACAGTCAACTTTGATGAGTTTCAGCTTCGCTTATCATGTTGGCTTTCAAGCTTTTGTGTGATGAGTCCTGGTCGGTTTTCACTGTTATTGTAGAAGCTGCTGTTTTGTGAACTCACTAGAAGGCTGTGCTTAGTATGTTCTGGATAATCAAACCTTTCAAGTGCACTTGCTTTTTGTTTTTTGTTTTTTTGTTGATGATCTGAATGTTGATGCGAAATTAATGCAAAACGTCCGATATCTGGGCTTTGATTGTTCATGTTTTAATTTGGTTACCGAGCTCCGTAACCAAATTAAAATTCCTGTTTCAACACTGTGCCATTTTCTCTGTTAAAACGTGGTCTAAAAAGAATTTAAAAAGCTTAAACCCCCGCGGAGCATCATTTTGTGATTCCTACCTATAAAACCCGGAGAGCAGTCAAATGGTGGAAGTGGAAACTAAATTGGCTAGTCATTCATATATATATTAGGCTGTTACCTGGGAATTCTGGAGGGAGGGGAGTGGGGGTGTGTGATTGAGGGCGTGGGGGAGGGAGCTGCTAAAAGCTGTGAACTTCCCTTTTGTGTTTCATCTTGATGCATTCTCAATCATCCAGGGAAATAAATCTCCAAAAGTCACCAACTTGGAGTGTTTCAGTTTGCCATCTTAGGGAGAAATCAACACACATGGGTGTATGTCCTTTGTTGCTGAGATTTATTGATAAAAACAGTACAAAAAACCAACCATTTGTACACATATTTACAAATAATAATAAAAAGCGAGTGAGTACATTACAACATTTTCAGCAATCACTCACAATCCTGGCACTGCCATATCTGTAGTCTGCATTTACCACATGTGTATCTGTAGCAGTGAACACATCGCACAGTGGCCTGATTTTTCTTGCATTTGTGTTTGGCTGTCAGGTCAAACACAAATGCAAGTCCACCATAGTTGGTGACAAATGATCCCCACACACTGGAAATTGCAGCGAACTTATCAGTTGTGATTATGCTTTTAATATACCAGTGGTCTGATTGATGCCACAATGGACCATCGATCAGTCGTCCATTGTGGCATCAATCAGACCCGTCCATTGTGGCAACCCGTCACACCCCGCTTAGCGACACTGCAAGCGATTATGCTTTTATTGTACACGCCGTGTACATAGGAAAACGGCGCTGGCCAGTCGCCGTGTTTTATAACATGATTGACATGGCAGCACTGAATGCACATGTGCTGTATCAAGCATGCACCGGGACGAAGGAAAGACGGGTGGACTTCCTGGTGGCGCTTGCAACAGAGTTGGCTCGCTCTCATGTAGCTGCGAAGAAGGCAAGAAAAGAACAGTTGCTTCGGGCACAACCCTCCACACCTAGCCCTGGAAAAAGAGCCACGTGTCAGGTCAAACACAAATGCAAGAAAAATCAGGCCACTGTGCGACGTGTTCACTGCTACAGATACACATGTGGTAAATGCAGACTACAGATACCATGGCAGTGCCATGATTGTGAGTGATTGCTGAAAATGTTGAAATGTACTCACTCACTTTTTATTAGTATTTGTACATATGTGTACAAATGGTTGGTTTTTTGTACTGTTTTTATCAATAAATGTCAGCAACAAAGGACATACACCCATGTGTGTTGATTTCTCCCTAAGATGGCAAACTGAAACACTCCACTCCCCTCCCTCCAGAATTCCTACTTAACAGCCTAATATACATATGAATGACTAGCCAATTTAGCTTCCACTTCCAGCATTTGACTGCTCTCCGGCTTTTATAGGTAGAAAGGTAGAAGCCTGGGGATGCTAGTGTTAAGAATTTTTGTGTTTTGCTAGCATGTAAGTGTGAGCTCTGTTATTTAACATTAATTTACATTTGATGAAAGAGGAAAACGAGATGTTTACTAAGTTTCATCCATATTTGTTTGACTAGAATGGCTTTCAAATACTTCACTTGAATGTACACATTCACACTATTCTTCAAAGAGCATCAGTAAAACCTGAATGAAAGTACATCACATCATATGTCATGCAGACGTGGTGCCTGATCAACTGCAATGTGAATACTATTTAAGTGCACAACATGGAAATTATTTATCTTAAAAATAACATCACTCCTTGCGCTCTTATTCTCTTTTCATTTTCTTTGGGTGATCATAAGGTTTCTTAGCACAAACATGCTTTTCAAAGAAATACTTAAAGTCAATGTTTGTTGTTTTTCTATTAAATGTGTTCAACTGAGCGACTGATGATGATGAAGCCTTTGTCTGGCTCACTTTCTATATTGCAGGCTGCTTTGGTGGTTGAAGAAATTAAGAGACACAGATTAGAACGGTCAGTGAGACTCCGAGTTAGACAGATTTGTTACTGGCTCTCAGTTCTTCTAATCATTTGTCTGCTGAGAGGCAGAGTCTCTGAAAGCCAGTGACAACAAGCCCTCTTTGATCATCGTGCACTGCAGTTCAGAGAGTTAGGCACGCTGGTTATTAACCTTATTTGGGTTGTAAATAAAACTATACTTCCATAACAGCCATCAATTACAGGTACAGCAATCTGTATGTGTAGAAAGCACCAAAGGCATTTTGCTCACTCTGAGTATAATGACAAAGAATATAAATGGCTTATATTTTAGATTCTTTTTACAGTCTAATTGCACACAAATCTGAGTGAGTAATGTATTCCTGTAATAGAGAACAAGCTGACTTTTAGGACCTTCATTAGCATCTACTTGCTTCACACTCTGCAAAGATTCATGTATTCAAACCGATTGCTTTTGCCTGGGAGGGCTGAT